TTCAAACCATATAGTGACCTCCGCAATCTGCACACACAACTATTAAACTCTCCCTGAGCAACAAAAACCAGGTGGTTGCTCCATATAAACTTCATCATCAAGGTCACCGTGAAGAAAAGCATTCTTAATGTCCAATTGATAGAGAGGTCAAGGCGAATTGATGCTATTTTAGTCACGGGACAGAAAGTATCACTGTAATCGAGCCCAAATATCTGAGTATACCCTTTGGCAACAAGAGAAGCCTTAAGTTGATCAGCCTGGCCATCTGGACCAACTTTGACTGCATACACCCAATGATAACCAACAGTAGATTTACCTGAAGGAAAAGGAACAAGCTCCCAAGTAGCACTCGTATGTAAAGGAGATATCTCATCAATCATAGCATGTCGCCATCAGCCATCCTGGATGAGACAGTGTTTCACCTGTAGACTTAAAGAAGGAAACAGAGGACAAAGATGATACATACGCATAATGGAGTGATGACAGACGATGATAACTTAAACCGACATAATAGGGATTAGGATTAAGTGTGGTCTGTATCCCTTTCCGAAGTGCAATCGATGGACTAGGAGGAAAGAAGTCCATAGTAGGAGCATGGTCAGGTGCAGGACGCGAATAAGCTGGGCCTAATGCTGGACGCGGAGAATGACGATAAGTCAAGAGTGGTATTCTAGTGGCTGGGGATCTAAGAGGAGCAGCACTAGATTCCTTAACGGTTGGTATGGGTAAGACTTTTATGGCTGAGGGTGTAAGCGGAGCTATAGTAAACTCCTCAAAGTCTGCATAGGTAAGACCTTAGATATATTAAGGTGGTCAGAAGAGATAAAGCAAGGTCTAAACTCAAAAATGTTACATCAGCTGACATAAGGTACCTACGAAGATCAGGTAAGTAGCAACGATATCCCTTTTGAACATTAGAACAAGCAAGGAAGTCACACTTGAGAACACGAGGAGCTAATTTATCTTTCCCAGGGACTAAATTATGAAGGAAACATGTGCTCCCAAAAACACGAGGGGAAAGAAAGTATAAGGGTGACTAAGGAATCAATACTGAATGCGGAATCTGATTCTGGAAGGGAGAAGAAGGCATCTGATTAATCGAAGAACAAGTCGCGAGAACTGCATCGTCCTAAAAACGCATTGGAACATGAGACTCAATGAGAAGTGTGTGAGCCGACTCAATGAGATGTCCATGCTTGGTCTCTGCAACCCCATTCTGCTAAGGGGTATAAGGACAAGATGCCTGATGAACAATTCCTTGAGAAGTCATAAACTGCTGAAACTGAGAGGATAAATATTTTAAGGCATTATCACTGCGAAAAGTGCGAAAAGAAATACTAAATTGACTTTTTTTATTTCAAGACAAAAACTCTGGAATATAAAAAACAGCTCAGAACGACATTTCATTAAGTAAGGCCAAGAACATCTTTAATAATCATCGATAAAACTAACAAAATAACGAAATCCCAAGGTTGAACTGACTCCGCTAGGACCACATATATAATAATAAACTAAAGAGAAAGCAAACCCTGCATGACTCTCAATACTACGCAGAAAGGTGGTTCGAGTATGTTTCCCAAGATGACACGACTCACAATCTAATGTAGACAAATTAGACAAACTAGGCACCATCTTCTGAAGCTTGGATAAACTCGGATGTTCTAAACGCTTATGAATTAGGTCTGGAGAATCTGTAACTGGACATGTTGTAGATGGACTGAGTTAAGATAGTAAAGACCTTGTGATTCACGCCATGTGCCAGTCGTCTGTCCCGTACTGCGGTCCTGCATAATAAAAGAATCTTCAATAAAATATATACCACAGTGGAGGGCACGAGTCAAATGACTAACAGATGCAAGACTAAAAGGACAACCAGGGACATAAAGAACGAAATCTAGAGTGACAGAAGATAGGGGATTAACTTGTCCAACATTTTTTGCTTTAGTTTGGAACCCATTGGCTAATGTAACAACGGGAAGAGACTGTAAATACACAATATTCGACAAAAGTGATTTATTACCAGAGACATGATCAGAAGCACCGGAGTCCATGACCCACGGTTCGAGAGTACTTGACAAGGAAACACAAGCAAAAGAATTACCAGCAACAAAAGTATCACTCTGAGCAACCGAGGCTAGTTGTGGAAATGCCTGCTTACGTGCTCGTTACCGAAGGAACTTATTATATTCCCCTTCAGATAAAGAAAACCCCCGATTACATGTAGTCTCAGTCTGAGCAACATAAGTATTTTTTGGTGGTCGACCATGAGAATAGCACTTCACGAATGTGTCCAAGTTTATTCCAACAAGAACACTTGGGTCGAGATCTTCCAAATCGACTTCCTCCACGTCTATTGTCCATAGTTTAAGATGCCCGATTTTCCACCGTCTGGGATGCGAAAAGGAGTCAATTGTCTGTGATGAGATCGTTCGGTGACTAGGTGCTGCAGCAAGGCGAAGTAATCGAGAGAATAATTCATCAATTGTAGAGACAGTCAGACTAGCCAAAATCTGGTCACACACTGAATCAAGGTCATTAGGAAATCCAGCGAGTGTAAGAACTAGAAACATCTTCTATCGTTGCTCTTGTTGCTTTTCAATACTAACAGAAACTGGAATCAACTTCTCAAATTCCTCCATGACTACCTGTACTTGTCCCAAATAAGTAGGCATATCCAATTAATGTTTCTTCAAGTTTGTTATTCGCAATATCACATCATAGAAACGAGATATGTCATTAGTATATAAAGTGCGAGCCTTTTCCCAAACTAAAGGACATTTCTAGAATGGACGAAACAAGGCATCAGCTTGGGATCAATAGATCGCCACAAGATACTACATGATTGAGCATCGATCTTTTATCAAAGTGCCTTGGCCTTTTCATCTCCTTCACTGGCCTTTTTGGTTAAGTGGCCTTGAACACATTGACCTTGCACCACAATTCAACAAAGGAAGCCCAAGCTAAATAGTTTGAACTTCCCATTAAGGGATCTGAAGTAATCATGAAGCTTGGATTTCCAAAACCCGTGTTTTAGAACCAAATATATCAAATCCCAAAGATATTGCTAGATTGGAGAGAGGTCTAGAAACAAATAATAAAAATAACCAATAATATCTCACTGAAACAGGGAAGAAACCACTGTTTTTGCCGAAAAAATATTGTTTCTGCTTGAAAAATCACTGTAGCAACCGGAAAAAATTGAAAGTGATTAGCATAAAAAGGAAATATGATGGGTAGGCTCGGAATTGCGAAGGAAACACACTGTCCTGAAGAGTCATCGCCAAACAATGGACCAGCACGTGTGGGAGGTTTTCTACAGGAGATTTTTTTATGGGTAGGTCGCTGGAGGCTGATCTACCTCGTGGTGGTGTTGATTTTTGCACAACAGTGACGGATAATAATTTTTTTTTATTCGGACAGCCTTAAGTCGCCGGAAAAATGGCACGGCGATGGGTTTTTTTCTTCCCAATATCGCTGGAATGACGCACAACAATTTTCTCACTTCCGCCCTAATACCATGTGAGAAAGCACGGGAGAAATATATATTATTGATATCTTAATTATAATACAATGAGCCCTATTCATAACTATATATAATATATATCCTACTCCTATTCCAAGTGGGACTAGGACTAATTACATATTAATTACATAACTATGTATATTCAAGGGAATTGGATGCTCAAAAGAAAAGGATATGGAAGACAGCAGCCTAATGTAACTATTGTGTAATATAGAGAAAGGAATAGCAAAATTTTTGACGGTGTTGAAAATCCAATGTGAAGATTCAAAGTTATTTCTTATTTCTTTTGTGTTTTTGGTGTGAAGAGGACATATACCAATTCGCATAACTAGTTAGATTTTTGAGATGCCGAAAGCTCATTCGAAACATGACACTTTTGTATAGTACACGATGTTTGGTGCATCATCAATGGAATACATTTGATTTATCAAAAGAAATAAGGTTTCGCTCTAATGAGAAAACAAGTTGAAAACAAATTTTGGAGGACAACCATTACAAATTTCTTAAATGGAGAAAGATAAACAAAATAAAAAACCAAACATAGAATTTGACGTCCAAGATGAGAGTCTAAGCTAAATGTTATACAACACCCTGAAACACCTGTGACAAAATTGAGTAATTATTAGAAGAAATTTGCACCTTACTTGAAGCTTAGTTTCAGTACCTGCCAGTCAAGGACTGTATCTCCGGCAACTCAACAGGTATAAGATGAGCATCTGCACAGAATAGTAGAAGAGACAACAAAAATCAAGCTTGTGAAAAACTAATAAGCAACCTAACAGATTAGGTAAATTCCTCAAATTACTATTACACTAACTGTCAAACAAGGGAGAAACAGCTAAATCCTGAACATCTAACAGGCAGGGACCTTGTTTAATTGATGATTGCTTTATACACTACTACTAAGAACCAAAACCCTTAGTGAGCCTGTATATTGGACGCCAAAAGAGAAGTTGATCACAGAAAGATGTTAGGAATAATCTGAAAGACTGAAATAGGAATAGGACCTAAAGTCCTGAAAATCGTCAGAGACTACGTAAGAAATAAAAGGTAAGGAAAAAAAGTGATACCGCACACATTCTTTATAACAGAACCACCCTATTTAAACATAATTATTGATGCATTGACACACAAAACGAAGTACTAACAGTCCAGCAATATCCAGCCTCTTTGCAGTTAGCTACCCTAATTATGATCCTCCAGAACTTGGCACATCTATTTCTGATTAGCATCTTTATTCTAGTCTTCCTAGAATATTTTCCCCGGACCCCGCGCATAGCGGGAGCTTAGTGCACCGGACTGCCTTTTTTTTTCCAGTTTCCAACCTCAGCCTCAATGAACAGTATATTACTAAACGAATTTTTAACACCGATATTTAAATTCTTTTTCAGCTTAAGCCGCTAACTGTACAAATGCTTCTTAAAATGAGATACTACATCTTTTCTCATCTTAAAAGTAATGTTGGACATCCCAAGTTGCTTTGACTTTGGAACAGAAATCCTCCAGATTTAAAAGAAACTTACAGCAAAGTATACATCAAACGAGAAACACAGTAGGAAATTCAGCAATAAAGGGAATCAACAAAGCTTAAGTATGAAGAAGATGTGTAATTTCAGCGGAAGAGACGGCGAGAAACTAACCTTTAGCAGTTGAGGCCAAAGTTAATATGTTCAGTATAATAGACTCAACGAAAGGAACTGAATCAGCCAAAGTATATAAAATGCAGGAAACTCTCAGCATAATCTAGGCTCTACTTCACGCCCTAACCACAAAACAGAGAATGACCTCATTTTGGTGGTACTTTCTAGTATAGCCAGTGTGATAACTACCTTGTTTCAGTACGCTACATCACCAGTATTATTGTTTACTCTAAGACCCTAAAACACAACTAGATTCTTTTTAAAACTAGATACAACACTAGTGAGGTACAGGCATCTAGAATATTATGTAAAATGGACAACTTCATCACCTACAAATCAAAAATATCTCTTCTCAACCTAAGAATTACGATGTTGGTGATGCACCGTTATTACTAAAAGGAAAGGCAAAAGAGAGCCGCTTATCAGTATGTACCAGATTTTATGTCTGTGAGGTAATACACGAGGACATTAGTAACCTTCTTTCAATTTACACACAGCATAATAAGATTCTTCCTTATTTTGGTGGGATGTTCCCGGGAAAGAGGGGGGGGGGGGGGGGGGGGGAATTTCCCAGTCTTCCATTTCCAGCATAGTAACAATGTAATATGTTAGCCATCTACATTCATCAGAATATAAAATGGGTAAGCATTTAAAAGGATAACAACAGACCCAGTGTAATCGCACAAGTGGGGGTCTGGAGAGGATAGTATGTACGCAGGCCTATGAGGTTTGAGGAAAATAAAAATAAGAGTTCATTTAAAAGGATAAATGAACTCTTATTTTTATTTTCCTCAAACCTCATTTTTCCTTCTTTTCTGTTAGTTTTTTCTTTTGTAAAGCAGATAAATTGAAAAAGACGTCTCTAAAGGAGAAAAAACATGGTGGAGAAGTCAGAAGAGTAGAGGGGTGGACCCCATAATCCACCGAGTTTCAAACCATGCGCCTTACGCCCTTGGGGATTTCTCAATAAGAGGAGAAACATGAAGTCGAGGTGATTACGGGCAAAATTGTTGACCCTATGTGTCGAACATTTATTTCATTAATTTTCCAAAAGCATCATTTATATTTTTCAACAGAAAATTTCAAACAGCTATGAAATAATTGTTGCCTATCCTTTAAAATACACTAGAACTTACTAAAATTTTAATGTACCCATTCTCACCTTATCAAAAAGAAAATGAATGTACCGATACCGCAAGCTTATCTGTCCCAATAAGAGATGCATGGCCATACCCAGGTCCATGTAACAGAGATGTTGAAGAAATTTAAAGCTAGTGTGGATTTTTATGTTGGACAACCCAAAATTAGGGTGTTTTAGCAAATAATTAAGTATATGCTTATTGGACCAAGATGACTTGCCAATGCACAATACAAAGGAAAAAATTGTATTAGCTTCAACCTTAGGTCTCTAGCAGCACCCTCCTTTTCTTGTGTTCTTTCTTCAGAATAACCTCTCCTTCGATTGTCACATATTTATCTTCCTAGAAACTCTTTCTCCCTTCCTCTCGATTTTTTGGATATTTCCTTCCTTCTCTCTAATATTTCCCAAAGATTTCCAACTAATCGTCAACCAAAATCTTCATTATCCATGTTCTACTCGATGACTTCATAACCTATAGGGATTAGTAAACCTGGTCAGCAGACGATCATACTACATTGAGATATTTCATAAAGAGTCTCTAGAGGAGGTATGCATCTTTACTACAAGCAAAGTGCAAGACTAGGGCAAAAACAACTCAAAGACAAGCGTGAAATCCTAAGGCTTATACATGTGCATGAAAAGCATCAGCCTTGGTGAAGTTTCACCTATCGATGGATGCCCAAGGCTATCTTACAAACTCCTCAGCCTTGGTGAAGTTTCACCTATCGATGGATGCCCAAGGCTATCTTACAAACTCCTCAGCCTTGGTGAAGTTTCACCTATCGATGGATGCCCAAGGCTAACTTACAAACTCCTCAGGGTGCAATGTGTCGTGGAAATGCCTTTTAAAACATTGAATAATAATCATTCCAAAACCACAAAGGATATCTAGTTACATTTAAGGAAGCTTGTTAAATCCCATTTACTCTCACTACTCCAAACCAAAAGCAACATCCAGTAATCAAACTGGAAGCAGGAAAAAAACACTAAAATTGTCATTGGCCAGATAATCAAGTTTCCGAAGGTACATCTCTGAAATTTCCTTTTTGGATAGGCTTACTTATGCATAAGGAGTTTCTTCCAAGAATATCTTTCATTAGCTCTATCATTGAGTCTCCACAACTGGCACTCAATTACATGTTCACGGCCAAGTCCACTCAAGAAAACAACAATCCATGCCTCTTGATCATAGTCCACTCAAGTTCATCTTCTCTGGCGCCACCACCATCCATCATAGCCACTACCTCCACCACCATAGCTCCTCCCGCCTACTCCTGCGCCTTCAACATATCCATCACCATGTCCTCCACCTACAGCAGCTCCATAGCCAACACTGCACCACCTCCACCAAATCACCACCATCTCCGCCCATATTCATCTAAAACCAGCCAGCATTCGTCCATAAAAATACCACCAAGCCGCTGTCCTTTTCCTCTATACATCAGATTGCCTCTGCTACTCCAGCCATGTTCATCCATCTCTATGGAATTCCAGAGAAGAACACAGAACTTTCAGTTGGAAGCTCCAATCAAAGTGATATGGAGGTGGGATGATGGTGGAAACTGTGGAAATCTTGGAGTTCAACCATGAGATGAAGTGGTCGAGCTTCTAGGGTCTGTTTCCCGTGAAGTTGCTTTTCAGATGGGCCTTTGCCAGAGAGTGCAGAGTGCTCTGTTTTGGATCTGAAGTTTGTGAAAGTGTAAGGAATATTTTGGTGAAGATGGAGATGAAAAAAGGGGAGCTTTGTAGAGTTATCGCAACAAAGAGGCAGAGAAGGTGGTGTATGGGTTATGGGTGTGCAGAAGTTGGATGATACGAATGATCTTTTCTTTTTAAATAGGGAAGATGATGAGTTGACGAGGGAAGGAGATGAACATTATAGTTCTTTTTGGTAATGAAAATTGTAATTTTTTTGGGTACAAAAGATTTTTTAAAATTTATTTGGGATCAAAAGCCATGAGGCATTGGTTAATTGGCATTTTTGCCACGTCACCGCGTGTGAACTACATGCATTTTACTTGGCTGATTGTTTGAGCGAGATGTGTCTAAGTGGCACAATTTGAGACTTGGCATAGAGGCCAAGTATTCAAATGGTCCTAGGTTTTGTTTAGGCAGCTAAATGAAATATCCAGACAAGTTCAGGGGTCTATGTATTTGGCCTATTCAAAAATTTCTTTCTACTATAGCTTTGATATAAAAGGAAAACATATATTAACAGAAAGGAAGCTGGAAAACATCCCACACACCTAGAGATGGTGGCCTGGTTGCAAAGTGAATGGAACCCAAGGTTGAAGATTCAGAGAAAGCAATAAGTATTCTACTACCATCAAGATCCCAAGCTGCTCCCTGATAATGAGCAACATGATTAAAGTTAGATTGTGTAAACGTGTCAATGGACCAGCAATACAATTTAAAATAGTCCACAAAACAGTATAGCAAATCAACATACAACGCACCAAACCAGGGCCTCTAAAGCCTAATAACAGGGCATAAATTGCAATAAGAGCATCAGATAAGTATTTTTTTTTATGTTATCCAGAATTTTTTTATCTTATCCAGAATTGCACCAATCATATTATCCATCCACAGACCATTACTGAAGAAACATAATGGAGAGGGGGAAAAGTGCATCTCTAATTTTGAAGATTAAACCGAAATTCATAAAAAGACCATGCGTTCACTCTCTAACCATCTTATTTTGCCTTCTGAATAAGCATAATCCAAAAGGAACATCCATGCACAAAAACAAAATGACTTTACTAAATTTCATAGTTATGTTAATGAAAGATCCTAAGACCCAAAAGGAGCAGAAAACAAAAAAATCAAAGAGCTATCTCAATTAACAATATAGTACAAAATGAGATGAAAAGATAATATCTGCTTCAGCTAACCGTGACAAAGCCATCTGTTGAGGACCATGGTTCTGATGTCCATGTGTTAATCTCCCAGAGATAGAATGTCCCATCACTGTGAAAAGAGAGGAGACCGGGGAGAATAATCAGCAAAAGAGTAAACAAAACTTAAGCATCATTCATGTACAGACAAGATTCAGAAATTTAGTTAAGTCACATTACAATTTTGCAGAGAAGAAATAGTCTCCTGACGGGGACCATCTCAACAAAGATATGCCCCCTAAGCCACGTCGAATAGGTGTTCCCACTCCTGTAAAATGCATTAAAGCTTATAACTAAATTAGAACTACAAATTTGTAACATAATATACACATACACACGCACACACATATATATAGATCAGTTAAAACCTTAAACCCTAAAACTGTAATAAATATACATAAATGCACACATACATGCGCATATATAAAACTGTAATATTTTGTATACATATAAACAGTACATCTCAAAAAAAAAAAAGGATACAGAAAGTTCAATAAATATGCATAAGCAAACATCTAAGCTAATCCCCCTTATACGGCAAACATATATAGACCAGTTAACCTATAAGCTCTTTCATTTTTGCACTTTAACAGCCCCAAGACGCAGTCACTATGAAATAGCTCCCGTTCTGGTTTATCTAATTAAGGACATTACAAGCATATTTTCACTGAAAGCGGGGAGGTGGGAAAGAAAAGTGTTCCAAGAGATTGTTCCTGCACTTGCAAAAGTTTTATGGAGATACAGGAAATAAGAACAAGAGGCTTATCTTTCCAGCATAAAAGTGGGAAGAATTCCAAGAGAACAAATCCCTCTTGATAAAACTTCTCATAGTCCCAAGAGAGATTTAACGTTGTGCACAATGAAGATTTATTAGAATGTAACAATGTTAAAAGATATCGTTCCTTCTCTTCTTTCGATACCAGACCAACACGGAAAAATCAATACTATTCTCCTTCCCCCTCCTTTCATTTCTTCTTTTTTATGCAGTTTCTTTTCTTTATTTCCAGATATGCCACAAAGTAAAGGTGGATAACTTGCTTAATTTTACTTTACACTTCAGGAAGAACATTTCTACATACTGTCAATGTCAGCATTACTGGGAGGATGAAATACCATTGACCTCCCCTTGATTTGGCAATACAATGATATTGAAGTAAAAAAGAGATTCAAACTTGAAAGACCATCTCTTACACAGTGCTCAATTTCTAGAAAGAAAAAAACATTTTCAAATTGAGCAACAGGATCATCCAGAACTCATATTGAAAAAGCAAATTGTGATGTCCTCAGGTACATAGAATCAGCGTTCTCAGAGGTATCAGTTTTTGGTTTCCTAGCAGACTACTCCCTAGAAACCTTCTCCCCTTTGCATATCTTCTGGACCACTTGTCTAACTTTTATAATATTCAGGAATCTTCAATTCGTCATGGGCTGAATTCCATTGTCAAAAAGATTTTCTTTTAAAGTCATAGTATGCCTTGATGTTGTCATGTTGATCATCAAAGATAAGATCATTCCGAGCCTCATGAATTTCAGAGAGACCAAGCCTTTTGAAGCTGGAGCAAAGAAAACTAAAAGAAATCGAAAGAAAAAGGCTTGCGTACATTTCACCTAACAAAAGCTGTAAATGCTATCATTAATCACCATCACTCCAGGCATCAAATAGATAAAGTTATGCCCACAAATGAACAACAACAACAACCCAGTATAATCCCACTAGTGGGGTCTGGGGAGGGTAGTGTGTACGCAGACCTTACCCCTACCCTGGGGTAGAGAGACTGTTTCCGATAGACCCTCGGCTCCCTCCCTCCAAGAACTCCCCACCTTGCTCTTAGGATGACTCGAACTAACAACCTCTTGGAAGTGGAGGGTGCTCACCACTAGAGCAACTCACTCTTGTCGTGCCCACAAATGAAGAGGTTGAGAAAAAAGGAACAGAGAGAAAAGGCAGGAAGAAAATTTTAATGGTGAAGAAAAAAATCGTGATATGCTCTGAGCAAGCTAAGAACTGAGAATAATTTGCCAACCTGTTACAGGCACAGAGGAAACAGAGCCTGGTACTTAAACAAGTAGAAAAAGTTGCATACCTTGAGCAACATCCCATATGATGAATGAAGAGCTCTCAAATGAAGCTGATGCCAAATATGTAAACAAGGTCAAGGAAAGCTTTCAATCATCAGAAGTTCCATTCTTAAACCAATAATTGTCAGGCCCTTTATTAATCATCTGAAGTAAACTTATTTTCCAAAAGTAATGTTCTACCATTTTACATCTACCTGACTACACTACTGTCATATCACTTTCTCACAATAACAATGAGATAGAGCCTGTGTATTACACGAGTAACATGGCACAGGAGAGGGAAAAAAACTAAATGAAACTGAAATTAAATGGTTTATGAAAGAAATTTTAATCACTTTAGAGTTATAATCCAGAAGATCTGAGCTCATAATAAAAGAATATGGAAGCACCTCAAGGGAAGCAACTAATTTGGTTAGATTTGGGAACAAAGTATTATAAGAATGTGCGCAAAGAAGCTTCATTCAACAAGAGAGCGGATTGGACAATGCCTTTGCTATGACCATGTACACTATTTCACCATATTGAAAAATTTTAACATGTGAAATGGTGAGGACATGAATTTTGTCATGACCATAGATCAGCATCACCAGGAAACCTATTCTGATGTCAATCACAAGATAATATGCATATGACAAAATTAATGCAAGAGAAGGGAAAATTTGAGAGGTTGAGGGGATAGCAAAATTCTGCATTAGTTGCTTTGAATTAAAACGGAAAAATACCCAGAATGATCTGGCAGTAAGGATATACTTTTAGTAGATGCAAATGCATCCTACAAACCATGATATGTGTAGATTTTAAATTACTTTGATAAAGGAGTCCTAATTTAGTTCAGCAAAGTTCATCCTAATATCGCCTTATTTATCAACCGAATGAAATTTTATCCGTGCATCTTTATGGTGCAACTATTTTTCAGGTAGTGGTTACCATAAAATCTACTCATCAAATAAAACATAATGTCCCACTTAAGTCCATGAATGAGGTAAAGTTTGCAAGAACAACAAAGATATGTTAGGCAATAATTTAGGATATCTTCCATTTGGGCTCCAGGAAAGTGCAGTAATTTGTTCATGTTCAGGACTTCGAAGAAAATCCACAAGAGTCCATTTAGTTCCTGAGCCTCTAGAGAGAGTGCCCAATGTGACTCCTGATCTCACTGAAGGTGCGTTGCCTTGATATGAAGCAGCCCAAATGCATATGCCACGCCTATACAGTGAAGCAGTTGGAAACAACCATCAGATAAATGAACATATGAAGTATGTATAAACAAATATGAGAGATTTGACAGATTTAGGATATCTAAGATATGACAAACTAAAGATACTAACTTGCAGGCCACAGAAAGTGTCCTCCCACCATTTGGCCGCCATGCTAGACTTCTAACATCTTTTTGGGATTCATTGATCAAAGCGCAGGGGTTCTTTCCTTCTGGCACGGAGAAAGAGATTTTTCAAACACGAAAATTTTCAAACGTCACTTGCAAACAGCATATATAGATGAAAAGATTAACACCGCCAGACTAAAGCAAATAGAGTCCAATAACCAATATGATGTAGGATATCTTGGCTTGAACTAAAAGTAAAACCAAACAAATACAAGTATGAAGGACCATAACAAGTACTAACCAGAATCTTCATAGTCACGAATTGTCACCTGATGCAGCCCTGAAATAAAGGCTAAAATATGCTTGTGCTGGTGCCAACCAAGGCCATGGAAACCAACATCTTGTAACAATTTTACCTGCAAAACACATTTTAAGAAAAATGAAACAGCATAGGCAATTTACTTCCTTTATATTTTTGAATTAACAGCCAGTGTAGGTAAATGCATGAACATATCTATTTGAGAAGGTAAAAATTACTATTGTCATTTACCCCATGGGATACTTTAAGACGGACACCTTTAGTCATAAGCATAAAGCTTTGCACAAGATAAAATTAGAGACCATCTTAATCACTAGGCAAGTAGGTTTAGTGCAATGTAGAGAAATCTTCACGGAGTACAAGTTCATGATTTAAAATAGTCTAACAGGTTAAATTAATTAACTTCTTTTGTTTCCTATAAATGTTCTTTTAATCAAGAAAACTTCATCAACAGCAGGCATACTCCTATAATCGAGGAGCATTGGAAAGGAACGGGAAGAAACATCATGGAAATTCTAAACAGTATGGTTGAATTTGCTAACTCCGTCCGTATGTGTAAACATGCTCACATTCCCGGTCATTTTTTTTGTTTTGCAGCCTACCAGCCTCAAACTCTTGACCTAGTGGCATGAAGAGGACTCTCTAAACCACTATGAACAAGAATGAAGAGGACTCTCTCAACCACTATGAACAAGAATGGTTGGTCCTAAATCTGGATAAGGAGAAGGATTGCGGTGGGGAAGTAATCAGCGTAAAACTAGCCAATTTATGATGATCCTCCCGATACTTAAATCGTTGGAACATGCCCACCTAGGCACATGTCACATCAGCACCCGGATGTGATTAAAAATAGGCTAGGGCTTCCATCATATCCTCATCTGGATGTGAGGGCGTATGTGCTAGGGTTCCTACATCATTGGTGGGTGTGGGTATAGAAGTTAGTCCTGTTACATCAGTGCCCGCATGTGGTGAAAAATAAGAAAGGGTTCTCACATAATGGACGATTGTGAGTAAAGAAGTCAGTTCTGCCACATCAACGCCTGAATGTGGTGCAAAATAAGAAAGTATTCCTGCATCATAGATGATTGGGGAAAAATCTAGTCCAAGTGAGTCGGATTTGGGAGGAATTTAGGCTCTTTAACGGGATAGTCGATTGAAGTAGGGGATACCTTTAAGAAAACGAGATGTGATATGCTTGCCTACAGGAAACTAAATGGGTAGGGCAAAAGGCTAGAGAAATAGGCAACATGATTATAAATTATGTATTATGGGAAAAGATAAAATAAGAATTGGGGGAGGGGGGAGGAGTCGGGGGGGAGGGTTCTCTTGTTAAGTCTTGTAAGGGAGATTGAGACAATCAATGTCACTAATGCTTCACAAGTAGGATTAGATACGGAAGTTAGAGCTTGGTCCAAGGGATAACTAACAGATCTTTAATGGGGGGAGATCTAAATGATCATGTGTGTAAAGATAGCGACGATTTTGACCAAGTACATCAGGGATATGGTTATGGTACTAGGAATGATAAAGAAAAAGCTACTCTAAAATTTTCTTTAGCTTATAGTTGTAGCTAACACATTAAAAAGATAGAACCTCACGTGATAACATTTAAGAGTGAGGTAACCACAGTCAATTAGAGTTTACCCTTACCAGAAGATGTGACAGAACTAAGGAATTGAAAGATTATACTAAGAGAAAAATGACCACACAACATAAATTGGTAGTCTTGGATGTCTAGTCTAGGAGTAGAGTGAGAAAGCAGACGACTTGTAAGTTACTGAGAATTCGGTGGTGCACATTAAAGGGACCAAAAGCAGTTAGCATTTCAAGAAAAACTATGGGAGGAGGGAGCATCGACTTAAGAACGAAATGAAGACATTCCATAGAAGGAAATGCCAAGTAGCATTAAGAAACTAGCAAGTGAGCATTAGATGTATCTAAAGGTTAAGGACCTTGACAATAAGAATCTTGGCGGTGGAATGAGTTATTAAAGCAAAAAGAGAGCGTTGTAGGATATTATCAAAAACAAAAGATGGAGAAGATTTTGAGGACTACAAGAGAGCTAAGGGCGAAGCTAAACAAGACTATTAGCCATGCTCGAGGAGAAGCCCTAAATGGCTTGTACCGAAAGCTAGAGACACAAGAAGGGGAAAAAGAATGCTTAAAACTAGCATGCCCGAGAGAGAAGAGGAGTAAGAATTTAAACCAGGTGAAATATATTAAAGATGATTCTTAACAAGTGTCGACACGAGATGATGAGATCAAGGAGAAATGGAGAAGCTAACACGAACCACGAGAATAACATTTTAGGTCTCCATATATCTATGCGATAGAAACGTTGGGTTGACAGAGATAAAGGATGCCATGAAAAATATGAAGATAAGGAAAGCATGTGGTTTGATAGTATCCTCATAGAAATCTGGAAG